CGTGCATTACTTTTTTTCCAGATAAATCAATTCCAGATGTATAAGAATGGGCAAAAATAGGAACTTACGTTCACTGATGGAACAGGACCAAATGCTGACATTTACTGGTCTTACTTTTCAATATACATATCCTTTTACTTTTTATTTTTACTGCTTTTACTTTTCAATTATAGGTGTGGAAGCTATTTTTGTTCAGCAATGTCCACAGGATCTTGCTGCTTTTATCAAAATGACAAAAGCAGCATTGTGGTATTGCGCTGGAAGCTCTGCTCCTTTTAGGGGGACATGAGATGCTGCGCTGCACTTAGAAAAGGGGTAAGGCTTGCATTATAACCCCGCAGCACTGTTTTCTTCAATCTGACCTCTTTTGCCCCCCTGTATTAGCATTCTTTACCAGGGGCAGCAGACAAAGCTGAAACTGATATTGGGTAGCGCTAATATAATATATCTACCAAGGTAGTATTGTGACCCTATTTCTCAGTATCACTTTTGAGTTTTTTCATCTTGACTCTGGATAGAGAAATCATTGCTCATACCTACATATCAGATCAGATTTATATCATAAAGTTGAACATATGTGAATGGATTCATAATTATTATCACTGTGTAAGTAGCAGATAGTAAAGTTGACAAGCCTACGAGTGTTGTTCACTTTTGAAAATTATCCTACAAAGCGTTTCCTTACAAACTTTAAATAGCATAACCACCATTGTAGCATTTGACATACGGCCTGAAATATTTTATAGAACAGTTTAAAGAAAATTTATGCAGTACCAAAGCACAAGAAATCTCAGCATGCAGCGTTGTGCAAATATTAATTTGAAACTCAGATGCATTGTGGAAACCAGCGCCCTTAATGCTTACCAGCTGTGTTTTTTTAAAAGACCTCTCCCGTTAGATTACACATTACCCTTTCTAAACATCAACTGCCACAATACCATTAATAATGCCTCTTAAATTAGATTGTTGACATCTGCTGATTTTTGTCAATGGCATGTCGGGATTTCCTTTGGTGGTCTCTGCTGTTACTAGTAAATCACATTTGCTGTGGCATTAACTAGAAAGAAGATAAGTAAAGCTTTGCAGTGAGTCCCTACTAAGAAAATAACTAAGTAGCAGCTAATTCTCTACCCACATTTCAGAAGACATTTCAGCCAGGGTTCCAAAACCACATTTGCATTCAGTGGGTTATGTTTATTTACTTTTAGAAATTCAGGCTTACCTATAATACTGTAGCTCAGATTCTAGCTGCTGGATATAGATCTGCAGTTGGGATACTTTATGGGCTTTAGTTTCTAGCTCCTTTACTTTTCCAAGGCTGTTAAGGATAACACATCTTGCTTCTTCAACTTTCTTCCTCATTTCTGCCTGCTCTCTCTTTAAGCTGTGGTTGCAATCTTCCAGGGCTATGAGGGCTTCATGAGAATTCCTTAGTTCTTTTTCCAGTTCTTGATTAAACCTAATTGCTTCTTCAATTTGTCCATCCCTAGAACTCCGGATTAATTCAACCTCCTTTAGAACACTCTGAAGGCACTTGGAAGTCTGAAATCTATTGTTCACCTGTTGTTTCCGGTTGCCTATAAAGCAAGTCCCATTTTTCTTATGATGTGCATGGCTCTTCCACAATCCCACCTATAATCATCAGGAGAAAAATGAAAAATATTAATTGGGAATAGTCATAGTTTTAAACAGATTTGTTCTTAATGTTTCATCTTCAGCAAAGATGCATCAATAGCTGAAGAATGATCATCATCCAATGGCTAAAGCAAACACACAAGCGCCCATAATTTCTTCTGTCTGGATTATTTCACATAGGAATTCTTTGTGAATATTCTTAATTGATATTTACCCCCATTTGGGAGACCTGGATTACACAAAATGGCTTCCCAATAAAAACTCAGGAACATGTTCCAGATTAAACAAACCAGGCTGAGTGACACCGACATGTATTAAGACTGTGATCCTACACCTAGTTACCTCATAGTAAGGTGCATTTGGTTCTGAGTCAGCGTGCATAAAATTGCATTATAAAATAGATGCCAATATAAGTATTAAAGCTCATCAAGAGAAACTGTAGACTTAAGCGGTTCTTAATTTCTTGGTAAAATAGGGCATTGTGAAACATATTAAGGAGTTTTCATTTTAATCCTACCTAATTTGGTGCTGCACTTATTATGGGAGCTGAAATCCAATGCATCTGAAGATCACCAGGCCAGAGAAGACAGCTCTAGAAGTTATGAAAGTATTAATATGTAGAACACATAGTTAAGTGCGCATGGTGTACAAGCCAAGTCTTGCTTGTACATACACTGTTTTTATTAATTAAGATAATTTATTTAGAAAAGCTGTGTCTTACTATACAACCTTAAAAAGGGATGCTGAAGGCACCAACAAACCATGAAAAGCACAGCATCCAATCCAACATCACCATAACTCATAAACTCAGCATTTATTAATTTTTTTACATAAAGGGTATACAGAGCTGACTTCAACCCATCCCAAAAGCTCTCTAAAACTGGACAGAGTTGAAAGCAAGTGAAGAAGCCACATGGGCACCCAAGAGTGGATGGTCTTTCTGGGGAGGGAGTATTGTAGGGGACATTGCATTATGGTTAGCAGGTAGAGGAGGAAAAGTATTGCTCTTGCTGTCCTTGCTCCCACATGTGCCCACTTAACTTGTAAAGGTGAATGTATAAACCTTTGTTCTGCATGCATGTTCTAAGCCTTGTTCCCCCCCCCCATACAGACATTGCCTATAAGTGAATGTGGGTAACCTGTAAGTATACCAACTGTTCAGGCATAGGCAATGACTGCCTAATCATGCAGAGATTGCCTATGCCTACACAGGTGGTATACATACAGGATTACCCATAAATAGGCTAAGTGTAGACAGGAGCAAGAAAAGCAGATGAAATCCCACTCCCTTCCACACGGCATTCACTGTAATGAGTTCAGAGAGGAGGAATGGCTGTTACTACATGACAAGGTTAAAGTTCTCTCTCCTTGCCAGAAAGGAGCCTAAGGAAACAAAGTTGGCTGTTAGGATGGTGGGTCATCAGGAGGATGGTGGGTGGTGGATGAAAAGAAAAGAGAAGCAGGAATTTGTTCTGGCTACCAAGAGCTAGCAACAGTTCCCAGTAAGGCAAAAAAATGAAATAAATTGTGACTTCAGAACAGAGTCTATCTTTTAGTTGAGGCATTATGCTATAGTTGGACTTATTCATTTATTTATGCATCAAAATTGTATGTTGCTGAATCTGCTAGACTCATGCTGACTTACAATAGCATACTAAAATAAATTAAAGCATTACATAAGAAGGGTAATATAATATAGTGTCCCACAAGAACAAGCCAATAGTGAAAGCTAAGTATTTATTATTAGCTAACATCTGGGTTGTTTATGAGCTGGCTACGTACAGTATATGCAGCCTGTTCTCCCGGCTTTTTGTTTCTTGAAATCTTAAAACTCATGGGGTTTTTGGACTCAACTGATCATTTAAAGTTAATCCCTGGGTGCTGTACAGCAACAAGATCTGGCCAACTTTACAGAGCTGACAGGACATAATAAAAGGTAATTTCCTGTTTTGCCTGGAGGGGGGACCCCATAACAAAAACATGGTGGGTGTACCGTTTGGGTACTCTTGGATGGCTTAGGAGCCATCCTAGGAGGCAGCCAAGAGAAGAAGGGATGGGGGGGGCAGAGATTAAAGGAGTCACACTGTTACAAGTAGTAGAGACCAACTGCACAGAAGAGCCACAGGAAGTCCCATAAGACACAAGACAGAACTTCCCTGATGACAGGAGGTGCACTAAAGAACCAACAAAAACATTGTGAAAGTATCTGTCTGTGTATATCTTAGTTCTTCAACTCTTGGTACGAATATATGCATCTGCAGATGCATGCAGCAAGCAATTAAAAATTAGATTTAAAAAGTGGCTTTCATTGGAAAAGATTTATTTATGTATCTATTAGTAAGTCACAGAGTTATTCCAAAAGGTAAAGTACAAACATATCAAAGAAAGTCATACGATTTGACTTTCCCCAGGGTATCCTAGCTTCAGAACAGACTACTGAATTCAGGAGACTTACTGTTAAGAAGTCCACATTGGACAGCAGCCTCAAGCAGATTTCTGCTAATGTACCCACTTGTCTGTGAGTAAAGACCACTGAACTCACCAGCGCTTAGTTTTTAGTGGACGTGTATATGGAACTGCACTGTTAAACCCACTAAAATCAGTGTATTTAATTCTGCATTAGATGGTAGAATTTATATTAAAATCATGAAATTATTCATCACTGTAAGCTATGCTAATAAAATAATTATGAGGACCCAATCTTTTTTTATTTAAAAGTGTCAATCTCCTTGTCATTGAAAGGATGCACAGGAATGAAAATGGAGATACAGCCCTAAAATATTAATACAATCTGACTTTCCCTAGTGTATCCTGTTTCAATAGAAAAATACATGTTCTTCCTTCATCTTTGCCCTTCATACTATGACTTTACCTTTAATCCAGTCATAGGCAAGATTTTCCCACTGAAGTCAATGAATTTCCCACTGAAACCAAAGTTACACTTAGAAGTATATCAAAGTCAGTAAAGCCATGTAAGAATGCTTCAGAGTGAAACTTGTTCAAAAGTGCTTATCTTTGACTGGACCAGGTTCATTACTTTGTTGTGATCTTGTAACACATCCGAAGTCAACTGAGATTCTAAACAGATTTTTGCAGGTAGACCCAAGCGATTTTAAACTCTTCCATCTGAAACATACTTCTCTGAATTTCTAGTACAGTACATTCAACATGCTTAATTTATGCTGTGTATGAAGACCATAGTGTTTATGTGCCATGTTGTCCTTTTGCCAATGACTAACAAGACTTCAGAGAGGACAAAAGCTAAGTAAAATATCTGTGCTTTGTTTGCACCAGCCCCAAAGCCAATAAATGTCAGTGACTTTAAGCAGCCTTTGTTTAAGAGCCTTTACGATTCAACGCAATATAAACCGAACCAGGTTTGAATGGAAATTAAAAAGTGACAAACTCCTTAGAATGACTCCCATCACAGAAATGATTGCTAACCCTCAAGGGTGGAAAGAAACCAGGACTCTCGAACTTATTACCACTATTTTCTTAGTAAATTAGAATTTATATTACTCCAAACATGCCAGCACCAAACAAGAAGCGCAATGGAGGAGCTGCATTCTCCATATGACTTGTCATTAAAAACAGGGCTGCTTCTCTGTCACAATTTACTCTTTTGCCTCCCCTTATAACATCCCACTACAGTCAGTAAAGCTCACTCCCTAGTATGTAAAGGTGACAAGGGTTGACTTTGGCAGTTCAGGAAAACCCACCTACCTCAAAGTGCATGTTTTATACACAGTAGACCATCCCACAGCCTATTTCTCCACCAGGGGAGGGCTGGGTGGAAGAGCCTGGAGCCTCCTAAAATTTCCCCACCCTTCTTGAATTTAAGTTGTCCTGAAAAGAAATAGAAAAACCGGTGCTTTTTGGGGGGCTTTTTGCCCCCCTCTTCTGAACATTTCAATTGGCTGCAGCCTCTCTCCCATCCCCGGCTGTAAGCGACGATGCTAACAAATGAAGTAACTGATAGTTTGCTGTGTAAGTTCACCACACCCAAAACGTGCCTCATGAGGCAGCCGCCCCTTTAGCCCCAAGGGTAGGCCTGAGGAAAGGCATTTCGGACCTTCTCCGACGCACTTTTCCCTTCTGCCTGCCTTCAGGTGCCCTTTCCCAGAGCGGATTCAGATTCGGGGGGGGGGAACTTTTGGGCGAGCGTCTGTGCCATTCAGGGTTGCCCTTACCCCACTGCAACCCCGTCTGAAAAGCGTTTGATTAACAGCAGCGAGAAGCTGGGGCTCAGCTTAAGACCGTCACGTGTCACGGGGGTCCAGCAAGGCAGGCTCAACGGCTCCAAGGCGCTCTCCTTGCTCCGATCCCTTCGGGCTCCGCGGCGCGGCAGGACCTCCCCGCCCGCCCGTCCGCTCACCTGGAGCGCCAAGCACCTGGCGTCGCTGCTCTGCAAAGCCGCCCTCATGTCCTCCACTAGCTCGCGCAGGCTGGCGTTTTCGTCCTCGAGCTTGACGATGCGATCCTCCGCTTGCTCCAGCGCCACGATCTCTTCGTAGCACTCCCGGGAGCACGATCCGGGCGGCGGGGAGGAGCACGTCCGGACGCTGCTGCTGCTGCGAGGACAGTCCCTGCCCGCCGCCCTGCCTCCCGCCGCAGCCTGCTCCCGCCGGCGGCGCAGCGGGCTGCGGAGGCGGATCTGGGTCTCGATGTGCTCGCTCTCCTTGCCCAGAGGCAGCCTGGTCACCCCCGCGGCGCCCTGGCCCGGCGGCTTGCAGGCG